GAACAGATATACTCTACAATAGCAAGTATATTTCAATTATATTATAGTCGAAGATTAAATACATGAAATGATCGGAATATATGTATATTCTTACCTTATTAAGTAATGTACTATCAACTGGTTTAGGAAATATCGGACCTTCATCGTTATAAACGCCACCAAGATAATCTGTCAACAGTTGCATAGCTTCTCCGTCATCGCGACAATTAAGTAACTTGTCTTGATTCCATTCCAATACAGTCAATGCTATCTGTTAAAACAGAATAGATTTATTTATTTTAAATATCTCGTATCTATTATATGTAACAATTTTATTAAATTTACAAATTTAAATGAATTTAAAATAATAAAATAAAACAAATTTGTTAAAGAAAATTATCAAAATTAAAAGAAAATTTATGTTAAATTAAATTTATTTATATAATAAGAACTTTCTATACAATAATCTTTAAAATTTAACGAAAATTATTTTTGTTGAAAGATCTCATTAATTGAAAAAATAATTGAAAATAAAGATATTATCCTTAGTTTGTTACCTGAAAAATAACTTTTGCCCCATCGTAGAAAAAACAGTCCATAATATTTACAGCGCTACTGGTTGGCATGACGCTCAAGAATATAGTTAAAAACCAAGATAATGAGATAACTTTAATTAAGCCAAGTTCCTGTAACTTGGCATGTAATACTGGTAAATACTCAGCTGCCAGTTCCTCTAAGAGACCTTGGTCAACGAGAGCACCGACCACTCTGCGATCATAGTAATCAGGCAGTAATGATTCACAAACATTACATAACTGCCAGAATGCTGATTCCTCAGAGCAATAAATCAGTAGAACTGATGCTACTATATTCATTGCCTGACAATAACCTGTAAGAACATAAAATATTTGTGAATAATTTAATTTGTATTAACGTGATGCTGCTAAAAATGACAGCACAATTTAATTATTTATTTTTAAATGGATATTAATTGTATATTACAACACACTTAAAATCGGTTCTTGATAAATAGATATTCATATAAAATTATCAAATAAAATTATACAATAAAAAATTGTATTTATTATAATTAAAAAATTCGACTAGTAGGAACTTTAAACAGTTATGTACAAACAGAAAAATATTAGACTTGCCTATCTGAGGATTTCGCCATGCATAGGCAGATAGTATCCTTCGTAACGCACTGATTCCAGTATCCGATTGGAAAGCTGGATGTTCTGGTAACGATCTATGCAAATCCCTTTCAATTTCCTCGTTTGCTTGACATGATTTACCAAGAGATTGTTCGACTAATGATTTATACAAATCTGGATTCATTGCCTTCTCATTTAAAGCACCTATAAAACGATATTATTTTTGTGAGCCAAACTTCTCCTCTGAGAGATTGAGGTATTCCTTGAATAACGAGTTTCGTAGTTTCCGTAGTTCTGTATATAGTAATTCCTCTTCCATATTCCGCAAAATGAAGTTCCCATTGCTTCTCTTTAGCTTCTTGCTTCAACGTAGCTTCGAGAGTCAATGGAGCCTTGAAAAGTATCATCAGTGGCGGTTGTGGTTTCCATTGTTCTGTAGGCTTTATTTTCTCGAAATTGTTGCTCGTATTCGGCAAACATACGTTCTCTCTTGTTCTATAACAAGATTACAAATTTTATGTTATTACATATATTTTACATCTTTATTTTATATCTACTAGAAAATGTAAACATACATATAATTAAGTTTAGACTTTGATAGGAGCTCAGAGATTTTTTGCACCACGAAATCTCTATCGTGTATTTGAGCGAATAAAAACGATGAACGCGCTGTTGTGATTAATATTGACTTATCTGCTCCAGTGCTTGACTGATTTTCCGCCGATTCAACGAGTGTTACTTCCCTTAAAGGTATAACTAAACTGACTTGTCTTCTTACCTAAATAGATACAAGTAATAAATAAATTTTACACGCTTTTAAAAAATTCATTAGTTTTAATATAATGTACTTACCCTACTTTCAAAACAAAGATAATTTTGAGATAAGTAGATCTTTCCCCAAACGTATTTTTTGTTGTATGGAGTCCATAAAGTAGCATCAATGCTACCATCTAATTTCTCAGTTCCTGGCAATCTAAATTGAAGCCTGTATGTTTCTGAATGTGCTCGTGCATCCAAATCTCTCTTCAAGAAAGACGGCTTCTTAGGCACATTTTTGCTAAATTAAGAATTAATTTAGTGTTTATTTCTGCATAATTTTCTAAAAAATAATATAATCATATATCAATATACCTTAATTTATTCAATAAGTCTCTATCCTCATTAAATCCACTTTTTTCATCAATAAGTCTACAAAAAAGCGAAAAAATCATTTTGTGATAAATTAATACATAAAGTGCAAAAATGATTTTTCTTTAAATATCTTCTGTATGCTATATTTTAGTAAGTTTTAGTACCTTTTCATAGCAATATTGGTCAGTTGTTCCATTAACGAATATGTTTCTGATTTATGTATAAACATAGAAAAATAATGCTGTAACACAAAAGAAAAAATTAAATTAATGAATGTTAAGAATTGATTGAAATGTATGGAATGTATCATGATATGTGTTGATAATAATACATAGAAATGTATGTATACACACATTAACATATACCTCTTTATTGTCACGTGTTACAACACGTATACTATCTGGAACTATAAGGGAACTAGTTTTGCTCAATTCTGTAATGTCCGTCCATCTTATGGTCAATTTCGTTTCTCTCGCCAGTATATAGGCATAAAAGCACATGTGATTTACAGATAAATAGAGCCATCCTTGTCTAGGTAATCGTGATTTCCAATAACTAAAAAAAACATAGCCACCTCATGATTATTTTTTTAAATGTATTTAATATTATATTTTTATGTAATCTTTGTATATTTAAAATTTAAAAACCTGCACGAATAATAATTGACCAATTTGTCCTCTTTGGGTATATTGAACAATTGGTGAAATTTAAAAGACACAGTTTTAAAAGACTCTGGGTCTTCTTCTGTAATATCAACGTTCAATTAAAGCATTCGTAAATGTTTTTACAATTTAAATAATGATTAATGATCCTACCATCTGCGAACTGAGAATCCGGGATGCTATTTGCTATTATAGATTGAATTTTGCAGCAAACGAATTCCGTTATCTCCTCCTCGGTATCGAACGACGTAAGCGTAGTCATTAAATTCGAGTGAAGCCATTCCCAATCCTGCAAAATCTCCTCACGGGTCAAGGAACATGCCACTTCTGTAAGTTTCAAATGTAAGAGGACACATTACAGATTCAAACTCAACTTCAGAGACTTAATTAATATAAAACTTAATAAGCCTTGTAATTTTTTCAGATTGTAATTGCATACAACTCAATGTAGGTGAAAGCATCGAATAACATTCTTATGCTCCCTTGGCATTTGCCATATACAGCTGACAATTGTTTATGCTAATATACATTGTTATCAGTTACTGTGCTACTATCGCTACTATTAAAGCAATACTCACACATATATTCATTGTCCTTGGCTTTACATCTTTTTAAATGCACAATATGAGCAAGAAAATTAATACGTAATAATTATAATAGGCATAATTTCATAATTTAATTAAATGTATTTGTCTGTAGATAAAAATTATCTCCTATTCGTTTTTTTTCTCCTCCTTTTTCTTTTCTTTCTTTCTTTAAAAAATATACATGTTTATATTTTACGTTCTCTTTATATATATCTTATACTAGAATCTTAAATTTCAATTATAATCCAATACCCCAATAAACTTCAGACGATGGCGTTTGATGAAGAATTCTAAAGGGTGGTGGTTTGGTGTCGAAAACGCTGTCCAATGTACCCACCAATATGGAGGTAAGACCTTTCGTTTTTCCATGTCCTTTACGACGTTGTAGTACGAAATATACAGTCGTCTGTTCAGTAATCCTATATTATAAAATGACAACAGAATTATACATGTTATAAATATTTGTCTAGAAAGAAAATAAAATTTTTCAAAATAAATAATTTTAGAATAATTAAAATAGTTCTTCAACAAATATATAAGAAACATCTAAAGCAACATAAAAAATTCAGTAGAATAAGTAGACTCAAATATAATAAATTCAACTAAAAAATTGAGGAAAAATATTTGTATAATTTAAATATAAATAAAAATTTTGAAAAATTAAGAAAATATCAATTATTTTATCGCTAAGATTTTTCACAAATTGCCATTATCAATAATTTCTTTCTTCTTTAACATTTATTGTTATTACTAGCCGTTATTGTATATATTGAAAGCATGTCAAATTAGCGCCAAACTATTCTCCCTTATCGTATCACTGATGTCGACATCACGATCGCCGCTTATCGAACCCGACCAGACATTCGCGTCGTACTTTTGTACACATTTTACCAGGCGTTTTCGCGCTCGTTATCTACTGTACGTGGCTCACGCGTTAACAACAGTAATTTTGTCGCGTTATGACGTTGGTAGTCGATAAATGCTATTCCGCAGTTGAAATGACGCGAATGTCAAGAAATTGATGTTGTCGAATCGCGACGCGATAAAGATCGTGGTGAAATCACCATCACGATAAAGACTTCCCGCGAAGTCGAGAGAACGGCACCTTCCGTCAGCTGTCTCCGCCACGAATGTAAACATTCCGCGCGACCGACTGCGACTTGACGAGTCGTCATTGAGACCGGTTGCGACCGTTGGAGTTCAGTCCGCGGTGTAGCATCTCGAGCCGTCGTTAATCGGTGATAGGAGGCCTTGTTCTTTTTCGCTGAACTTCTTCCATTTCTTTTCGCTCGAAGAAAAAAGGAGGAAAGCTAACCCGTGCAAGACAACATTCGAAAACATTACCCAAATGCTTCCGAGTATCGTGTTATCCTATTACTTAACATTCAGTAAACAACGAGAATAAAATGATACTAGTATTTTTCCGCCCAAGGAGTTTAGCTAAAAAGAACACAAACGTCGTTAGGCGCGATTTTACCAGAACGCATTGGCGAGCAGCACTTCTTGCGGCTTCACCCACATCTCGATCGCCGTGCACACCGCGCGAGGTACATATGGCACTGACACAGGACGACGACGATGACAACGACGACGAAGACGACGTCGCGCGCGTGCAAACAATCCTCTCCGAGGAACTGCCGCGAAAATGCCGACGGTGGAGTGAGGGAGAAGGAAAAATTAATGCAATGTACTCGCGACAGATAAACACCGTCCGTGACGGCGAAACGATCAGCTGCGACCGCTGCGACGCTGCGACTTGCGACAGTTGCGACAGTTGCGACTCTTCGCGAGGGACGCTCGCCACGCCACGCGGAACGAATGTCACTAAAGTGAAGAGATATCGTTACTGGCGATCGATATTGCAATTTCTGTACTCGACATGTCTCGACGATGATCAACGACGATCGGAGTCTGCCTGAATTTTTAGGACGAGAGATTATTTACTCAAGAGCGATTTTGACTATTAACACGACAGGGGTACGAATAATTTAAAAAAATTAGAAAATAATTCACTATTTTTACATATGAAAACACAAGTGTAAACGCTTATACCTGTATATTATCATAATTATATATATTTTTTAGGAGGTAATAACCGCATATCATATGGTTCTAATTTGCTAGTAGTTAGTCCGTAGTGTCTGTATGATTCTGAATATATTTCTGACAGATTTAATTTAATCCTAGCAATTTTGATTGACTATTAACACAAGAGAGGTTTGAATAATTTGATAAGGTTAGAAAGTAATAATAATCCACTGTTACATATATATATATATATATATATATATGAAAACGGTTATATCTGTTATCTCATAATTGTATATTTTTTAGGAGGTATATCCGACGGTATATCATATGGTTCTAAGTTGCTAGTAGCTAGTTTATGATCCTGAACATCTCTGATAGATTTAATTCAGTTCTAGTGGAAATCTCTAATTGTGGAAGAGATCAAGCTGAACAGGGAAACAAAAGATATAAAGTAATGCTTTTGAGGCTTCCATGGATACTTTGTATACAGAAACTATGCATTTATCTCTGTGTCTGGATCTATTATTACAATACCAATGTTTCATCAACATTGAAGTTTATGTCATTAGGGCAAGGAAACTGTGTGTTATATTAACTTTCAATTTTTCTTACTCGGATCCGTTGAAATTTCAAATTGCAGTACTTAGGAACACAGTCCGTAACCTGGGCCCCTATTCTCGAAAAGTATCGCATACGAAAAACTAGGAAAATACTATAGTATGCGTTACATACTATAACATTTCCCTAGTTTTTCGTATGCGATACTTTTCAAGAATAGGGGCCCTGTATAACACATGATTAATGATACCAACAAGATCAAGAGTAATATAAAATTGGATAAGGCTTTTAAAATTCCACAATGCAAAGGTAGTAAAAAACTTGCAGAAAATTTATAATTTGGATTACAATTTTATGAATGTACATTATCCTGGCTTGATTGATCTGGACCTCTATTCTCGAAAAGTATCGCATACGAAAAACTAGGGAAATACTATAGTATGCGTCACATTGTCACATATATTATAGCAATTTCCGAGTTTTTCATATGCGATACTTTTCAAGAATAGAGGCCCAGCTTCTCCGAAGAATTACTTTTATATACACTTTTAAGAGTAGGAGGAGAAGAGGATGGAGATTGACATTCATTAATGAATCTAGACACAGGGATAATCTGCATATTGCATAGCTACTGTATAAAAGATGTAAATGTAACACTGAAGGCATATTAATATTGAATTACTTTGACAGAATGGAATGTTTGGAAAGAGTTAATCACCCAGGATCGTGGGTGAAGGAAAAATACCAGGAGGTTCAGCAATTATTGGAACACGGGGCAAAGAGTGATCCGAATAAGCTTTACGAGAAAAAGTCTAAAGCTGTGGAGATTCTAATGGAGATATTGGAAGCGCTTACACACTGCAAAGAAACTCTCTGCACTGTGGCAGCTGCGATAACTTATTTGAATATAGGTATATTACGAGCTGACATGGAAGATACAGGATTTGCTACAGAATGTTACAAAAAATGCATTGACTTGTTGGAAGACAGCAAACTGACATCTGAAGGCATTTTACCAGCTATAAGCGCTAATAATCAATTGGGTCTAATGTATGCGCAACGAGGTTCATACGACGAAGCTAAAGATTTCCTAAAGCAAGCAGAAGATTTATATATTAAGTTTACAGAAGATATTGGACTTGATCCTGTTCATATGGTGACCATTATGGGTATTGAGGAGATAGAAGGAAATCTGTGCGCCAAAAGTATTCTCGAGAAGCTTCACACATTGACTCTGTATTATTTAGCACAGGTCTGCCGCGAGTTAGATGACAAGTGTAATTTTGCTCTGTATTGTCACAGAACATTGAGCAAGCAATTGAGTCAAAATAAAATAACACAAGATCTGGATTATGTCGATTGGGCTTTAAATGCCGCGGCAATATCTCAGTATTTCGTAGAACAAGACAAATTTCCGCAAGCGAGACATAATCTAGCTGCAGCGTCATTTATATTGGAGCAATATTCTGAAATCTTGAAGGCAAAAGGCACTAGGGAAACCAGCGAGATCATTGCTGCGCAGTACGAAAATTACGATCACGGATCAGCAAATATTGCTAGATGTTGGGCAAAGTACGGTATTGCTCTCCTGGGAGCATCTAAAGAGAGATTAATGAAAAGGGCCGAGGAAGAGGATGAGGATTCAAAGCCTGCGAAAGTTGCCGATGAAGTTTATAAATATTCTCATACCGAAACCATGGAGGATCCAAGATTTGTAGATTTAGAACCAGAATTAGAATCGATTACCAATGAAGTTACAGATATGTATTTATTGGATTTTAACGATGCCAGACCGGTGTTCTTGAATGTTCGGAAATGGTTGGATAAGGCGAAGGAATATTACACTTTCGAGAATCACGCATCGGATTATGCCTGGATTGTCCAAGATCTCTCTCAAGCGTACAAATACTTGGCGTTCTTCGAAGACAACGAAGACAGGCAGGCGAGAATGCACAAACGGCGGATAGACATTCTGGAGGAAGTAATTGAGGGATTGTCTTCGCGGTTTTACCGAATCGTCTGTAGAGAAATTTGGATCGAGCTCGCGGAAACGTATTCGGAGATCCTGGACTTGAAGATTGATCGTTTGCAAGCATCCAACGAAAGGCCGACGGCGCACGTGACAGCGAAGATCGAGCGCCTGGCGAGAAATAGCATAAAGCACTATCAGTCGTACTTGAATTCTTTAGAGATGAGCAAATCCAAAAACGGAGTCGAATCCTTCTCGGACGACTTGTTTTATCCAGCGTTGTATACTTACTTTCATGTAGGCAGATTGTATAATAAGATTATAACTTCTGACATACAACAAAAGATAGAAAACATGCAGAATAGCGTTGATGCTTACAGTTTTGTCGTCAATTACTACGATAAGCATCCTGAAAAACAAAAGAAGTTAGAAAAATACGAATTTATAAAATTATCTAAAGAATTTGTCACATTGTTGCCGCTTACAATAGATAGATTAAAACAGCAACAGATAAATCAATAATGCTATTTCTCTCTCTTTTTCATTTCCGTGACAATGTTGAATGATATTTTGTTATATTTTTCTCTCTATGCAGAAGACGATGGTTTTTGTACGAGAGAATACAGAAATCTACATCTGCAAAGCATATATTTATGTGCGCGTATTTAACATAAATGCTTTCTTATGTATTTGCGATCAGTTCATTCCTTATATTCCTTATATTTGTACACTTAAATTTGTATATATATATATATATTTATTGATATAATCATACATTATACATTATATGTTGCCATACATTAAAAATATATTTACGATAAAAAAGTAGTTACTTTATATTGTGTACTAATCTTATTCTTTTATATATAAAACAAAACAAGGAGATGTATGCAGAACCATCATTATAATCTAATATAAAATAATTTAATATACATGTAATTACAATACTTACAAATGACATTTTTTTCAATATTATTCTTAATCGCTAGTGATCACTGGTGATTGACGGTACGAAAAATTTCCGTTTCCGAAAAATATGCCCCATGAGAAGCCAGGCTACTTAAAGCCGGAATCAGACTATGCATTGAAGATTGAAGTTGAAGATTGAAATTTGACCAATAAGGACAAAGAAATTTTAGCTCCTTTCGTTTCGATTGGTCAAATTTGAATTTTTCAATCTTTAATCTCTATCTTCAATGCGTAGTCTGATTCCGACCTAATGCCCGTGTCACACTACGCATTGGAGATTGAGGATTGCGAATTAAGGATAAGAATTCAGCTAATTAGAACGAAACGGATTAACTTAAAATTATTTGATTGGTCGAATTCTAATCCTTAATTCACAATCCTCAATCTCCAATGCGTAGTGTGACACGGGCATAAGGTTTGTTCGCGTCGCAATCTCCAATATGCTCCAACATGCTCCTACCGTAGCTCTTATTCACTCCTATCAAGCACGTTGGAGTGAGTCAGAGCTATGGTAGGAGCATGTTGGAGCATGTTGGAGCTTGCGACGCGAACAAACCTTAAGCTGATTCTACATTGATCGTATCGCAGCGTCGCAAGCGTGTTGCAAGCGTTATGGTCCAATCAGAGTCGAGCTAGCTTGACGTTGATTGGACTGCAACGCTTGCGACGTTGCGATGCGACTAATGTAGAACCAGCTTTAGATGTCAGCACGCGCGGCGAATATTCCTCGTAATCCGCGCCGCGGGTCGTCCGGAACGGTGAGTCCAGGAACAAGAAGAGCTTCGTTAAGTCTCGTATCAGGAGACAGGAATCAACGGATCAGAGTCCTCGTCGGTGTTGTTCCTCGTTCATTCATCGTGGGTGAAAATGGCGTCCTTGGCGGGTGTCCGGCTGTTGGCGAGGAACACCGGTTGCTTCAGAAATTCATTCAGTCGGTTGCGATGCACGAGCGGTGCACTCGTTCAGATGCGATGTGAGCAGAGGTTGTTGCATCGTGCCGCGTGGACCACGCTTGTCGTACCGCAGGTAATATTGACGGACAGTGACATGCATGACTCGACATGCTCGACTCCTTGCCGAGTGATTGTTCGCAGCAGCGTGGTTCTACGGAACGCGCATTATGTAACTGAAGCGATCTGAAATACTTGCCGAAATGTCCAGAGACTCGTCAGTCGATCACTTCAATTCACCTTAGCTCAACACATTTGTTTTGACTGCACTTTCTTATGCTCTTAGTGTTTACAACTCCTTTACCCATCAGTTGCATCATATGATAGATTTTGGATTTAGTTGTTGGAAACATAAACAAACAACCCATACTTGATCTGGATTATGTCCAAAAACAAGAAGAGCTCTGATTGAGAATAAATAGAAAAAGAAAAAGCATAAACTAATGGCCATTTCTGCTAACGAGATTAACTTTAATCACGATTTAATCTTTATCCTTTTCTAATTCTTAGGCCGGTATTCATAGTCGATTCTTATTTCAAGATCGTCTTAAGTAATGTCTTAATACGCTAATGTGGCTCTCTTATTGGTTCGTAACACCTCAAGGCTGAACTTGAGATGATCTTGAATATAAGAACTGACTATGAATACCGGCCTTAGAATTAGAAAAAAATACTCAGTAAGTTAAAATGAAATTAAAGTTAATGTATATCGATAGAAATGGACATTTAGCCTCTGTTTTCAATGATAGTAACAATATTGTTATAGAGCTGTGTAACGACAACATAAGGATACCAAATTTAGAGTCTACTAAGAGTTTAATCTTTTATTCCTAAATCTGTATACATTTTCAAATATTGTTTTATCCTAAAACATGTCAATTTATTTTTGTTGATATATGTGTTTAAGATTTGCATAATTGAATTTAAATTACCATTATTTAATGAAGTACCATAAAATTGCATCAGAATATATATTTTTTGCAAAGTATCCAAATACATCGACATTTCTTCATGAAATCATTTCATAAAAACTAAATGTTAAAATGTATACAAGAAGATCATTTGATGAATACAGGTAAAATGCAATCGTGGATACTGTCAAGATGTTACTAAAGAGAAACCGAAATCAATTAAGGATATCGAAGAGCGCGTATTGAAGGCTGTAGCCGTTTATAACAACGTCCTTGTAGAAAAGGTTACATAAAATACATCTATCTTTTTTCTGGAAAAAAATTTTGCAGGGCTTAAGGGACACACGCATCAAGCAGGTGCGCCATTACAGTCATAAGGATCCACTAACCCTTGATATTATCAATCAGCGGGTGCTCTTGGTTCTGAAACTGTATGATAAAATTGAACCCACAAAGGTATCTTAAAAATCAATATTCTTGAAATATTTGCCAAGACATTTCTGTAGACGATTCTGTATTTCTTAACGAAAAAATGTAAAAATGCATAAAAAAATTCATCATTTGTGTTGCAATTGTGTTTGAAAAATGTGTAAAAATAAAAATCATATCTTTTTAAACATATATGTAGCTTTTCTATATTAATTAGAAGAGTTGATAGTTTCTTATATACATGATATAATTATATTAATTTTCTGTTGCTAGTCTGCTGAAATGTTTTGAGAAATATTTTTGAAAACAAAGAATAGTTGGTTAACACCTCGCTTGATCGTGGCGTCTGCGTGCATACTGACATGTAGAAACAAATCTCTTTATTAACTCTTATTTACTGTATTTATATAATAATTGTTAAAAATATATATGGCAGAAGAATATTTATTATTCATATATCTAATTAAAAAATTTAAATGTGTAGAATACTCTCCCTTATGTATTTCATTCGATTAATTTTATCAGAAGAACATGTCAGTTGTGCAGGAAGCCCAGGCACGCGATTAAATCCTAATCTAACGATATGTTGAATCTTCAGCTGACCTTGGATTCGCACTTCATGGACGACCTGGGTCTGGATTCCCTGGACCACGTGGAGATCATAATGGCGATGGAGGACGAGTTTGGCTTTGAGATTCCAGACATGGACGCAGAGAGGCTACTGAAACCTAAGGATATAGTGCGTTACGTAGCGGACAAGGAGGATATATATGAATAATACGCCTTGTATTATTTATGTCTACGCGTTTAGTCAACATCCGCCGTTGTTTCGATCGGAAATAACGGATCACAGCGTTTTACTCTGCCGCCATTGTTTTTTTTCTGTATATAGACCACTTATCATTATATGAATAAAAAAATAAGCGAATTGTTATTATCGAATTTCTCTTATGTGTGTACGCATCCTTAAAAATTGTAAGAAGCGTACAGAGGACCGTTTATAAATTCCACAGTTTAGTATCGAAATATGCTTTTTTGTTTTGTAATAATATTATATATTTCATATTCGTAAAATTCGTTTTATTAAAACTACTAACTACAATCATGATAATTAAATTCATTAAGAACACATCGCAATAGATATGTTCTCGATTTTTTTTATAAAAAAAGGAATTGTTGATTCAATCGAACAATTCGAATCAATTATTTTGAATTTGATTCTGATTATTTTATAAGTATAATAGAATAGGATTTGAATATGCCATCTTATGTGTGCAACTGCATGCATGTAAATTTATTGTCTTTGTGATTTTCTCAGAAAATTTCTTCAGTTTATGGAAGTTATTAACGTATTTGCCAGACATAAATTCATCGTCGACAAATACCGGTTATGCAATTGCGTTTTGCAACTGCGAGGTTCGCCGCGTTGATTTTCTGTTTTTAGTATTTTATTTGTCGTATGATTTTTTTTTCCGACATGTTGATTAGCTGCAGGATAGAGGATTTTGGAATGTGAGGGTGCAGGCTCGGTAGATCTGCGCATGTGCTGTGGTATACGAGAGATATCGTATTTGCATGGACGTATGAATATATTGTACCTTTAAGGTACAATTTCATGAAGCTTCGCTGGCGAAAACCTTCACTCCGTCGATTCGTGCGAAAATGCTTAGCTAGCGAAGCTTCACTCAAAGTTCAACCACAGTATATACAGTAGCGCAACTCTCCTGATTTTATGTTGGCAAAAATGGAGTGCGCATGCGCGAAATCAGTAAGTTCCCCAGTAACTCCATCTAAACTTCTATCTCACTTCTTCCTTTTTCTGTTCTCTTTGTCAGGGCCATTTAAATGTTTTCGTTTATGTACCTATGACAGTTTATATTCGGAAAGCTTCAATTTGGAGGAATTGTGTGTTAGAATATTATTTTATAATATACATAATATTGAAAAAACTTTCGTTTTCTGAATTATTGTTATATTAAGTTTAAAATTTCTTTTATCTCATTTTTAGTTGATTATTTTTATTCTAGATGCACACACACACACACACACACACACACACACACACACACACACACACACACACACACACACACACACACACACATACACACACACACA